TGTTAAGAGTATCCCACATCGGAAAAGTGTGAGGAAAATAATCGGTATATAAGCTCTTGAGTTGAACTAACTAATCGATTGGATTCAATCTTTTAATACGGTTTAACCCAAGTGTCTTATTGCCCAATCCAGTTATCCCTACCCAATGCTAAATTCTATCATTTGTCATGGTGTCCGTCTAGACGTTCATTCCTAGCGGCACGTTAGTCTTTAGCCCAGTTGTCCGTATGGAGTATGTATCCAACGGCCTGTGGCCCGTTTAACCCGATTGCACGTCTGGAAGTCCATACCCAGCGGCTCGTGGTCCTTTAGGTGTTGGCGCTCAAAAAAAAAATCAAGGGGATGGGAGTCTATTTGCAAGTGGTCAACCGGTTAGATTCAAAATGGCCCGGTCGTCCACTTGAGGGGGAGTGTTAAGAGTATCCCACATCGGAAAAGTGTGAGGAAAATAATCGGTATATAAGCTCTTGAGTTGAACTAACTAATCGATTGGATTCAATCTTTTAATACGGTTTAACCCAAGTGTCTTATTGCCCAATCCAGTTATCCCTACCCAATGCTTAATTCTATCAATTAGCAAATACATACCTCCAAATGAATCCCGTAGCAGTCTAGTGAGTTTTGAATCACGTACTGGAACATGACTGTTGTTCTCTGCCAATGCATTGATGCATTTTCCAAGCGCAGTTAATGACAGATTGATTGACTTTGCTTCCTCTAATATGTGTGTGTCACTTCCTGTTACAAAGCATATAAGATCCTAAGCATGCATTGGAAGGATATCTATATCCTAGAAGGAAGTAGTAGATGAATAAAAACACACATCATTCGTAGAACTGGGATTCTCCAAAAGTGCTACCTTTATCTGACTTGTCAATACGCTCAGAACCAGCAAGATCAACAACAATTAGCTTGCTTCCGCGAACAGTTGGTGCCTCTAAGGTTTTAGTCAATTGAGATGTGCCATTTTCATTACAAATAGCAGAACTGTTGCCCTTGACTTGCCTTTTAACATGCACCTGAAACATGCACAAAATACGTGTGAGGTCTATTTGGAACTTGGGAAATGCTATGGAAAAAAACAGTGATGAAAGTTCTAGAGAAATTTGGGAGGAAATAAAATGTGAGGGAAACAAGAACTGTTCAAACTCTATATTCAAAAAATTGCTTATGCTCATTTCATTTTTCTACTCCTACCATATAAAGACTGAGAAATCTAAACACTGGTAAAAAACAATTAAAATTTATAACACCAAACATATGACATTTCCCTTTGTATTTTCATGGGTAAAACTAAAAACACAAGAATATAATATTCATAGCAATTTTTTCATTCCCTAGCATCCAGGAATTAAATATTCCCTTACTAAATTTCTGGATGCTAAATATGCAGGTGCAAATGACTATCTCAAGCAATGAAAAAGTGTCTATATTAGTTTATATATTAACTTCATTTACCATCAGTATAGCATGACTGCGTGAAGATTCTGTGTTCAATTTAGTATTAGCAGCATATCTATGAGCTTCACCTAGTTGAAGTAGTTGCACAAAATTTTTTTGGTCTCTGATTTCCACGGTAGTAGCCCCAGGAACTGAAACATCTCCAGTTTTAGGATCTTCAACTATGGATATATTGTAGTTCGTTGGATCAAGTAGATCTTGTATAGCCTCCATATAGAGCTTCATTGCATAAGTTATAAACTAGATTATATTACACAGCATAGAATATCAAAAGCAATAATTCAAAAATTAAATAACTCCAGATGTCTTCCATGGCGAGAGACAACAACCTGCAAGTAAGATACAGATACTGAGTCATTCTGCAGGGATATTTCAGCAAGAATATCTTCCATTGCCCGCACCATGATCCCGCGATCAGATGCATCTTCTTCACCTAGCCTTCCAACAGTGTATGTTTTTCCAGTCCCAGTTTGCCCATATGCCATGATTGTTCCGTTATAACCCTCCAAGACACTCTGCCAAACGTGACAATAATACATATAACAAATTTCCTAACAATGAAATAGTGGAAAATTTATATGTGTAGCTAAAATAGCAATATTGAAGGTTAGTAAAGGAATGGGAACACATAAAATTACTATATATGGCATGCAGGAGGGAAAAAAAATTGAAAATACATATGCAGAAGCTTCACATTAGCAAATATTATGAGTGCTTAACACCGCCTGATTAGTCTTTAATGTTTCATTTTGGAGAGCAGTGAGGATGGTGAGTTTGGAGTGGTGGCAGTGAGTTTGCAGTGGTAGCAGTGAGTTTGAATCTGTAGCATCTGGACCAGTTAAACCTTTTTTTAAAATGTGTTTGGCAGTATAAACATTTTATAAAATAAAATTTGCTGCAGTGTGTTTATGGCAGTCTAAATTTCCTAATCCAGGCATATCCAAACAGTTAGATCATGATCTTTAGACTTTAGAAAGCTGTAATCAGCCCATGTCTGAATCCACATGAAGCCTTAGTCTTTAGTGACAGTTTGATTAATTAAGGTTTTTGTTTAGTGAATAAGACATAAACCATTCTCTCAACCACTTCAGCAGGCTTGATTCTAAGTCCAAGCCTATGCTGTACTGAGTACAGCAGGTGTTAGATAAAATTTCTAAAAATGTGTTCCCATCATCATTGATAGCAGCCCCTTAATCCTAACTATGTTAGTGAATGTTGGCTCAATGTCATGAAACTTTAGTGTCAAATACTAATTACCAAATACTAAATGTCACTATAAATTGATGCAGAGACATAGAGATGTGACATCCAGTTATCAAGATATAAGCTAACCCTCCAAAATCCTACATCCAACCATATCTCAAGAGCGTGCCATGTTCCTTAAAACACTTCACATTTGATTCCCACATCACTGTATAAAATAGAGTAAGCCAAAGTTGACTTTACGGATGCCATGTTCCCTAAAAGTATTCACATGAAGTGTATTAGGGCCTAGGTAAAATAAATAAGGTCAACATTGGCTTACTTCTGTGGTTCAATGTCATCATTGACATGTGCTGCTTCTTGGAGCAAAAAACAAGCACATGAAAAAAAACAGAACGAAAGGTCAATGAACTATCTATAACACATGTAACTTAAGCTTTCTAGCAATGTAGACAGAGTATACAATAAATTATACAAAATGTAATGTTAAACAAAGAAGCATGGCACCTCAACAACAGGCTTAGCTACAGCTTCGTAAACGCGCTTTTGGGAAGCAAACTCTGTAAGCACTTCATCAAATTCATAGGTATCTGTGTCCCAGTTGTTTCTCCTAAGTTTCAACCGTTTAAGCTGAGAGAGAGACCAAACCACATATTAAAAGCAAAACAGATTAAAAACAGCTCAAATGTGCTATATCAACAACAACAAAAAAGTTAAGTAGAACTGGTATACCTCTGGCTGCAATTCAACACAATCGGAAAAATCTGCATCGGCCTCCATCTCCTCCGCATTTCGAGGACGTAATCTCACTGCAACTCTAACACGTCCTGAAACTGTCAACGGAAACATCCAATGAACATCACGCGATAAGTTTTAATTTGTTCAAAATGACTCCAACAACACATTGTCGCAATTCAACTGAAATTTAGAAACAAACAAACAAACAAAAAGTACTCCGTATTTAGAAATCGACTCGGAGCTACTTACTTGCGGCATCGTCCTTTCGAGAAGGGGAAACTGAGGCGGCGGTGCTGCGCCGGAGACCGGAAACGGGAGGGGGAGTCGAGGTCTTGCTTTTACAGGATGGCGACGAAGAAGACGAGTTAGGAGAGACGTTCAGCGTCACCGACGCGTTGCTTCCATCGACCTTGGGAGCTCCTCCTCTGGAAACGGAGCCGTTCTTCGCCATTTTCGGATCGCCGGCCTTGTTCTCGGCCTGCAGTTTGGTGAAGAGGAGAGGAGGCGAGTGGGAGAAAGGCGAGAAAAGAGAGAAAGACGGGCGTGGGTGGGGCCGGCTGGCCGGAGGAGGAATGTTGACTGGTCATGAAGAAGAAGTCGTGGTGGGTCAGAGTTTGATTTTTCCTCGCGCTTTCGTTTTTTTGCTATGCTTCGCTTTTCAGGAGATCTCCGCCCAAAGCCCCAAAGTGTGACACCTGATAGATATTGGATCACCCTCCATAAATGAATTTCTACTTTAGCCCTATTTGACAATAAATTCAACATCTAGCTTATATTATTTATTTTATTTATTTTTTTGGAAAAAGAAAACTTTCACCAACGAGCCAATTAAGTCCACAATGTAAAGAGGAAAAAAAAGGATGAGCCACATCCCCGATGGCCTTTTCAAACTCGGTCAGACGGTCACTGAAAAGACATAAATTGAACTTTAATCACAGATTGGTGGTAAAGAGTGAAGCATGCACCAGATATTTGCAGAGAGACCCTATGTAATAGGAGGAGTGACTTCATACATGGATCAAAAAATATACAGAGTAAACAATTCTAGCTAAAGCATGAGCAGCTGAGCTCATAGCCTTGTGAACAAAATAAGTAAAATCATACTTAAAAAAATGAAAGTAAACATGAAGAATCTTCAATAAGATAGCCAAAACATGAAGAATAAGAACCAAAGTCCACCTACTAAATAGATGTTCCACTTGCAACCATGAAAAGTCTAACTTGACGAACCCTCAAACCTTCAACCATGACAATGCCCCTGCATGTCATTAAGGGAAAAAGATTAAATTTGTGAATTGGGTGATGGGCACCCGTGGTGATTGAGCTAAGCTATATCAGTTTTTTCTTTTCTTTTTCTTTTTTCTTTTTTAATTTCAACTCATTGAAATAATCTACATCCTTACTTCGTCACTATTTTGTCACATCACCCATTCAACCACATAATACATATTTCTCTACTCACACCTACTCGCTTTCGGATGCCTCGTTGCACCCCATCAAGACCGTCAAACTCTCGTCAAGCCCGCTATTACAAATAGTCCAAATGAAATGCAAAATGCACCCTTTTTCTTGTCCATACTCTCGCATCTCACTATAATTGATCATTTCTACATTTTTAACTTTTCCCCACTAAACCCTGCTACTGAGAGATGGAGTAGGGGAACTAGGGGAGTAGGGTATGTTTAAAAGGTTAGAGGAAAGAAACGTCATTTTTGCAATTAGATCACGGTAAAAAATTTAATTTGAGTAATGTGAAGTTGGTTTTGCGAATGTATAGTGTAAGATTAGTCGGCCTCACACACGCAGAAATTCGAAATAAATAATTCTTATATTTTTATTTTTGTTTTCTTTTTAAATATGTGAAATGAAATCAAAAAATTGTGCTTCTGTGATCTTAATCTCTTCACATGAAATGTGGATTTTCTCACACTTTTCATGTACTTAGAAGTGGATCTTTTTTTTTTTGACAAAAAGCTCAATTCTTTTATGTTGTTTATGTGTTAATTAGAAACAGAGGCTAAAGTCCTCTAGTGGTTTAGGCGATGAGTAGCAATTTCTCTATCTATTTTCAAACTTATATATTACCTATAAATACATTACATTCTCACTGAAGAAATATTCACAAATACTGCACACATATTATATAAATTTTATAATACACTTATTATTATTTTGTGCACTCCCGAGGGCAACAATCCTATTCGTGAGATGCAATCGTTTCATGTATTTAGTTTTTTAGGTGATCATTTCATAAGCTTTTTTGAGGATTTTTAATGGTTCTTTATCTCATCGCATTTTTTTGAACTGACAGAGTTAGTAAAAAGTTGTACGATTTCACACTAATTTTCTATTTAAATAAATCGTTACAATTACAATTTTTTTAAATAATTTAAAAAATTATATCGAACCGGGAACCAGTCTGGTACTCACCAGTTTTGGGATCATGTCGGGTGCTGACATCCTCCGAAACTGGTTGCATGTAGGAGGTGAAATGGACCAGGACCAACAGTTCTGAAATCAGTATTGAGACCAAACCAGCCCGTGACCAGCTCTAGACTCTCGTGTCCTTTGTGGTTTAAAGCGAGCATCAATGTCTCTCTACATGAACTTTAGATTACTTTTGACTCTAAGGATTATATGTAGATAAGTTTTAAATTAAAGAGAGAAGAAATTAATGCTCATTTCTTAAACGAGTGAAGACACTAACACTATGTTTGGTTCAAAGAATTCGAATGGGAAAGGAAAAGAAAATAAGAAGGAAAATATTTTTCTTGTTTGGTTAGAGAGGAAAAGAAAAGAAAAGTGATAGGAAAAGAAAAAAAGAAGGCAAAATGTACTAAGCGGAAGGAAAACCAAATTCCTCCCATTTTGGTGAGGAAAATGAGAGAAAATCATTTTCTTTTCTTTTCCTACAAAATTCCTTGAACCAAACATAGTGTAAGTAGAAATAGAGGAAATACTCGGATCCCTACATATTTACAACTTACAAGTGCTTCTCTATAGCTGACAAATGAGCCGGTCATGTCGGGTTCAATCACTTCGGGTTCGGGTTAATACGAATTCGGGATGAGAACTGTATGTTTATGATCTATTGACCCAATGAGTTTTGACCCTGACTTTTAAAACTTTTGAATACATATTAGCACCTGCATTTTGCATTGAATAAATTTAAAATATCAAAAAATGTATTAAATCCTATTTTATTATTTTATTTTAAAATTTGAAGTAATTTCTAGGTATATAAATCAATGTAAACAATTAAATAGATGCATAATTTTAATGAAAAAATCAAGATAATTATGTAATATCATTAAAACTTTGTGTCAAAATAAAAATGAATAATAAGAAAAAAAATCAACTATAACCTTATTTTTATAACATTATGTTTCATTGTAAAGTACATATATGATTTTAAAAAAATTCTTACATTAGCGGGTCGGTCAGATCCATTTTGGTTGTGTATAAGGTTGACAATGTTAAATACGGAGTAATGCTTGTAGTGGTTGGGGATAATAATTGCGTGTGTGCATTTTGGGATGTTTTCCAATTTCCATCTCAAGAACCCATAAACAGAGAATAGATCGAATGAGAATAGTGGCCACGACCGGCCAAATATAAGGTGATCGATGATGTGAACTCCATGGAAGTATATATATACATAACTAAATGATATGATCACTTCACGAAATTAAACAGACCATGAATGAATCGAAGAAACAAAAATCTCAAATGTTATGATTGCACATATATATTATTATTATTCGATCTCGATTGCGGTGAGTATAATTGCTCCACACCTTGTGTTCATTAATTAGCACTACACAACATTATATATTGCATACAATTCAAGTTCCACTCTATAATATAATTCCTGCCTTTCATTATATATTGGATCCATATGTACATCCATTTTTTTATCATTACTTTCTCCGTTCCTATATTGATACAATATGTTCAAATATTGAGTATTACTCTATAACAATTTTCACGCAAGTTCTTTTGATCTTGAATCTCTTAATTATATTATCATTATCATGACAAAAACACCTATAGTGTTTAGTTGGTAAAATCAATGGTCCTAGATCGCTGATTTGGCAACTCAAGTCGATGATCCAGGGCCTAGGGGCCTAAGGTAGAAGATATAAACCATCAATTTTATCAATGAAGCATCGTAGGTACCCCGATCATAGAGTCAAAATAACATTGCCGAAGAACTTTTAATTTGATGTTATAGATATACTTTGGTCCTAATGATCTCAAACAAGAAAATAGTTCTTGCAATCTTACAATTGCGTCCGAAATCTCTAGTATTTTCGTCAATATATTTAAATTAGATTGGACAGTGTTTGAACAAATGGGCTTAATAATTAACTGTTTGACAAACACTTAAAATTCATTGTTAAATATATTATTTATATTTAATATTATTGTATTATATTGTTACCATAACTGTATCACCTTTCTACTATGACTCTCCTACCATAATTAGGATTGAGACTCCTAGTATATATTCACATGTAATCACCACAACTTCTTAAATGAAAATATTCTTTCTACATGGTATCAGAGCCTAATAAACCCTAACCCTAAAAACTCTTCTCCTTCCTGCGCCGGCCTCCCTCTCGGCTCCCTCTCCCTCAGCCGCCGATCTCTCTCTCTCTCGGCCACCTCCTGCCGCTGGCATCCTCCCCCAAAATCACCATGACGGACAGCGAAGTTACGTCCCCAAACACCACCTCTAAATCCCCGCATCTTGCCTTCACCACCATCTCTAATGTCAAACTCCATGTCCCCATTCAACTAAGCTTTTCTCAACCCAATTATAAAAAGTGGAGCCGATTGTTTCTTCTTCTCGTTCGGCGCTTCAATCTCCATGGTTACATCTATGGATCCGTCGTCCCTACCTCCGACGACGACGATGAATGGTTCCAACTGGATGCTCTTCTTCAAGGCTGGATTCTCTCCACAATCACCGATGAGGTTTTGGACCTTGTCATCTCTTCCACCACCTCTGCAGCCTCTCTCTGGAAGGTGATTCATGATCTCTTTCACGACAATAAACATGCTCGTGCCATGCAACTCGAGCACCAATTCCGTACTACCGTCAAAGGGAACACCCCCATGGCTACTTATTGTCAAAATCTCTTCAACATCGCCGATTGGTTAGACGATGTTGATGCGCCGGTATCGCAAAATCAACTTGTCCTTCAGATGCTACGCGGACTGCCGGAGGATCTTCAGGCTCAAACTTCGTTCCTCCAGTTTCAAGATCCGCTGCCTACGTTCCTTCAAGCCCGATCGGCTCTCCTTTTGTTGGAACGGCAACGCTCACCGCTGGACAACCACGGCACTACGGCCCTCGTTGCACGATCGGGCGGTTCTTCCCACCCTGGGGGTTACGGTAGCAACTCCATGCCGCAGGGCAGTGGCTACACCGGCGGGCAGCAGGGCGGTTTTGGCAGTGGCTACGGCGACGGCTCCTCAGGACAGCGCATCGGCTATGGGCGAGGTCACGGACGGGGCGGTGGAAACAGGGGCCGAGGTCGCGGACGTGGCAGCTCCAACGGATCGAGGCAACGACCACCCACCGATGGCTATAATACTTGGAACTCACCCCACCCGAATCCCAACCCAGGGCTGCTGGGCCCACGGCCCACCACCTCACCGCTACCACCCCACACAAACTTGCACCTCGCTCGACCCGTTGTGTTTTCCTTGGATATCCTTCAAATCAACGTGGTTTTCGCTGTCTAAATCTTGAAACTAACAAAGTCATAACATCCCGCCATGTCATCTTCGAGGAATCCACGTTCCCCTATGCCCAGTATGCCGACATATTCACCAAAGGACTCCCTTCACTTCTGTTTCTTGACTTTCGAGACAGCCTGGGCATCAGACCGCTTCCACATCCGACATAGCCGGGAGCATGTTAAATATATTATTTATATTTAATATTATTGTATTATATTGTTACCATAACTGTATCACCTTCCTACTATGACTCTCCTACCATAATTAGGATTGAGACTCCTAGTATATATTCACATGTAATCACCACAATTTCTTAAATGAAATTTCTTAAATGAAAATATTCTTTCTACATTCATAAAATGAGTATGAATGCAAGAACAACAAAAAATTGTCTTGACGGACTAATTAAGATGCTAACCTTTTTTAGTTGATCTTCTTACCTATCACAAATGATGATCACAAGGGTAATTAAATTATTAACCTAGCTAACAATAGTAACTCCTTATTAATAATAATGATGATATATAATACTAACCCATATACCGACAATTAAAGCATTTCCTCCTCTTGGGCTTTCGAGAATTTCTTGAATAAAGTCATATATATACACTATTTACGTAATGATTAGCCCTCTTGTGATCATCATTACCATCCTTACCTTGATCAATTTTTTCAAAAACAAAACAAAACGTATGATTCCGATCCTACCCATCACCAAAGTAATTAGTAATTTTATTTTTCTAATTAACTGAGTAATTAATTAATTACCAAAGCACCACGTAAACGTGGGGTTAAAAAGCACATCTACTCTGACAAACATGCCTGCTTCCATTGCACCTATTTATAGGGCCTTTCTTCCCTTCACACTTTCCATCCCCATCAACTCTCATTACATTTGATTTTATTTCTTTATAAATTCCATCTTTTCTCCTTCAAACTACAAAATAACCTTCTTCTTCTTATTCTTCTTCTTTTCTTCAAGATTAATAAAGTAAGATATGTGTATCTCCTCATCAGAGTCCATCCATTGCAGAACTTCCATGCATAATAAGCTTCGCCCTAAACGCTCTAAGCTTCAGCTTCACCGCCTTACGTGGTACGTATATATATTATATTAGTGTTTGATATAATTTCAATAATGAAAGTGTTATAGTGTTTAAGTGTGCTAATTAAACAATCGTTTTGAAAACATAGAATTAACCTATTTATGCAGTAAGAACTTCAGATGTCTGATTTTATTTTTTCACAGAGTCCACGAAAATTTAAAATGGGGCCTCGTAGTTTAGCTATATATGTACTAATAAGAATTTGAAAACGATTCCAAACTCTAACATGTTTGATCACAAGAATGCCGTTTGACTTTAAAAGAAAAGTCAACAAGCCGGTTTTTGGGATTTAAAATCGCCACCAAATTAAAAGTTTTAAGTCAGTGGCGCTTTAAACTCATACGATTATTTTTATTGTGATAAATGCAGGATGACGAGGAAGAGGAGAGACGAGGAGAACGCGGAAATGGAGAGGAAGAACATGAAGCTGTACATGGAGAACATGAGAATGGTGGAAGAGAATGAGAGGTTGAGGAAGAAGGCCATTTTGCTCCATCAAGAGAATCAAGCTTTAATCTCTCTTTTTCAAAACACTACTCATGTAGTCCCAGACCATTCATAGATTCAAAAGCAAATTTAATTTGTTCGGATGGAATTATGTATACTAATTATAGAATAAAATTAGTATATTGATATAATCATCATTATATTCAATTTATGACTTCGATTTGTTCTTTCATTTACTCCATTTAATTATTTTCAATTTTTGGCCTTAATTGGGTTCGTGTTCATGTTAGAATATCTAGTATAAATCTTTCCCACGACACAATCTCAAACTTAAGTTATTGGTTGAGTTGGTTCAATCCGTTAATGTGGTATCTGTTGACCAAGAGGTTACGAGTTTGAAATTCAGCGTCACTCAATTTAAAAAAAATATGTTCACGTGCAATGCTCGAGCAAAACGCCACCCAATTATGGAAAAAATTAATGTTCTCGTGCAATGTTCGAGCAAAACGCTACCCAATTTTTTTAAAAAAATTAAAATTCACGTGCAATGTTCGAGCAAAAAAAACAAATCTTACATGGACGTGACATGATGTACTAGAATATAAAAACTTTTTCTAGGATGCAATCACAAGTTATAGCTTTTGGTTGAGTTGGTTCTTTGAGAGTTCATAGATGTGAATTGAGTTTTATGTTGTTGAAATGATAATGATAAACCACCAAATTGTTTAAACAAATTGTCTTACACATTTTATTAATCGTTTGATAGTATATTTGCATAATGTCTTACTTTACTATGACATATATAGAAGGTGTTCGACGCATTGCTTTTTAGTAAAGTAGTTTATAAACAGGAAATCATGAAACTCAATAAAATAACTAATTTTGCGCTTTCTAACATATTGTATATGTTCTAACGCACATCATGAAAAACAACACCTGTGAGCACGATCACATGTCATATCGAGTCTTGTTTTAATTTTTCAGAGGTAATTATTCCACTTGCTTGATCACGCTGATATACGAATGAAATTTTAATGAATGATAATGATAAATTACAGTACTGCGTAAATAAATTATCTTACTTTATTCCCAAAAATTAAAATTATCTTCACTACACACAAGATTGAATTATATTTTTTTCTTTACACACTTTTATTAATCATTTGACAGTATATTTACATAAATTCCTACTTTACTATGGCATATACAGAAGGTGTTTTACGTATGACTTTTTAGTAAAGTAGTTCTGAAGTACCACTTTGACAAAACAAGAAATCATGAAACTCAATCAATTAAATAATTTGCGCATTCTAACGTACTGTATATGTTCTAATGTACATTATGGAAAATGGTACCTGTGAGCGCGATCACATGTCATATCGAGTCTTGAGAGGTAATGATTCTACTAGCACGATCACGTTGATATACGCATGAAATTTTAATGAATGATAATGATGAATTTCAAAACTGTTTAAACAAATTGTTTTACTCTGTTCCCAAAAATAAAGTTCTCATTTACTCTCATTTCCCAAAAATCGTTTGGCAGTATATTTGTATAAAGTCCTACTTTACTTATGGCATATAGAGAAGGTGTTCGACGCATGGTCTTTTAGTAAAGTAATTTCTAAGTATCACTTTGACAAAACAGGAAATCATGAGACTCGATAAATTAATTGGGTTTGCACGTTCAAAACGTACTCTATATGTTCTAAAGAACTTTATTGAAAATGGTACCTCTGAACGCGATCACATGTTATATCGAGTCTTCTTTTAATTTTTGAAAGGTAATGATTTTACTAATTAGGTAGCAACGAAATACCCATGAAATTTTAACTAATGATACTGATGAATTACATCACTATTTAAACAAATTATCTTACTCTGTTCCCAAACATAAGGTTCTCATTCACTATATACTCACAAGATCAAATTATATCTTTTTCTTTACACATTTTTATTAATCCTTTGACAGTGTATTTGCATAAAGTCCTTCTTTACTTATGGCATATAGAGGTGTTCAAGGCGTGACCTTTTAGTAAAGTAGTTTCTAAGTATCACCTTCACAAAACAGGAAATCATGAAACTCAATAAATTAATTGGTTTTGCACGTTCAAATCATACTTTATATGTTCTAATGTACTTTATTGAAAATGGTACCTCTAAACGCGATTACATGTCATATTAGGTCTTCTTTTAATTTTTGAAAGGTAATGATTTTATTGGCTAGGTAACAACAAAATATCCATGAAATTTTAATTAATGATACCGATGAATTACAGAACTGTTTAAACAAATTATCTTACTCTGTTCTCAAAACTAAGGTTCTCATTCACTACTCACAAGATCGAATTATATTTTTTTCTTTATTAATCGTTTGATATTGTATTTGCATAAAGTCCTACTTTACTTATGGCATATAGAGAAGGTGTTCGACGCGAGGCCTTTTAGTAAAGTAGTTTCTGAGTATTACTCTGACAAAACAAGAAATCATGAAACTCAATAGACTCTATATGTTCTAATGTACTTCATTGAAGATGGTACTTCTGAACGCGATCACATGTCATATCGAGTCTTCTTTTAATTTTTGAAAGGTAATGATTTTACTGGCTGAGTAACAGCGAAATACCCATAAAATTTTAATGAATGATACGTACTAATGAATTACAGAAGTGTTTAAACAAATTGTCTTACTCTGTTCCTAAACAACAAGATCTTGTTCACTACTCAAAAGATCGAATTATATTTTTTTCTTCCTTGGTAGATGTTTCAATATACTTTTGAAATATGTATACTTCTTATAGATACCAATCTCTTAATTCTATACTAATATCCAAACTCCAAACATGTTCTAAACCGCGTCAAAAAGATGTTTAAAAAAAGCAAAAAGAAAAAGAAAAGAACTTTAAAAAAAATTGAAAACATGATTAGTCCGACATTAACAACAATTTTATGTAAGAAATTGTGAAACTCGATCATACGGAGTATAAACTTGTCGCTAAGGTTGTGTTGTCAACAGTCAACACACGTGAAGTTGTGCACTAGAATCAAAGAACACTTTTTTACTAGAAAAAAAACAGTGGTTTTTGGGGATTGGGGATTTTTTTTGGTCAAATGGATAGAAAATTGGATGAATATTTTTTTCTGGCAAAAGCAAATGGGATGAAAATACAAATATGTACAAAACTCGAAAAAGTCAACTATATTGCCTCTACATCATAATATCATTTCGTTTGACTTTCTCCCTCATTCACATTTAAACATACTCATAAAAAAATGCTAAACTTTTTTAAGGGAAAAAATGATAAATTTTGATTCGAGATTTTAAAAAAAAGCCAAAAAAGCATAAAACTCAGATAGAGACTCCTATACACCTCCCAAATGATAATAGATTCACTTTGCGTCTCTGCTTCATTCCTAGCGTGTACTGTATTTGTTAGGTACATACAAATAATCAGGAACATTAGGAACATGATGAACCTAGAGTCAGTCTCGGAAAGTAATGAGGAAGATGAGATGTTACAACATGGGTGATGACTTAGAATTGTTAATTATTTCCAATTGATTTAGTATGTTTTTGGACATGAATCCCAAGTTGTGTTTTAGATTAATTATTTAAGCTTTTGCATTGTTTGGTTTTACTCTGATGATGATTTTTTTATTAAATGGGATTGGATTGAATATTTTTAGTTAAATTGTTTAAAATATTTTGTGTTTGAATACGAGATTAGTAGCAACTCGATTCGTCAACTCATGTATTCGGATTATGCGACTTGGAGTGTTACATAAATACTCTATACTTCCCAAAGCTTTAAAATAATAAAAAAAGGTAAAATATATTTTTGGTCCTTGTAAAATGTGCGAGTTGTGTTTTTGGTCCATTCAAAATATTTTTTTAATTAAATCATCCGTGTATATTTTTGCAGATAGTCTTGTCTGATTTAAATATGTGTTTTGATCCTTGTAATAAAATTTATAATTTTAGTCCCTCAATTTTTTGGTTCATTCCTTCCTCTTTTTAAATTATTAAATGCTCCATACAAGACCAAAACATTACTACAAATTATTTTAAATTTTTGTTGACGAAATAATTTTCAATGATTCTTTAAAGCTAAATTATTAGTAAATATCTTTACTATCATTATACAAGTAGTCATCCTCAAAGAAATAATAAAAATTGACCCAAATGGCGAGGCTAAGAATCTTGTTGTAAATCATGAATTTTGTAAATTACATTACAGCACATTTGGCATCGACGTTAGTGATTAGCGTTAGCTTTTTGAAAAGGTTATCCGACGGTAGCCTTAAGCGTCAGTGTTTTCAGAATTAATCTAGATCATTAAAATTTTATCTAAAACATAAACGCTAATAAAAAACATTGTTCTCAAATAAGTGCTAATAGTTATACTAAAAAAACTACCAGTAGTACTCTTGTATTCCGGTATTAGTTTAGAAAAAGATTTTCCACTGTAAAGTATTCCGTATTAAATTAGCAAACTTTTAAATGAATTTGTAACAATATAGTTATTCAACTAAACTTCTAAAAGTATTTAATTAATTTTGACTTGTAGTTAAGTAAATTTTGAATAAAGAATAAGATAATCGTGTACGGAGTATTTAATAATTCAAAAGTAGGATTGAATGAATATAATCATAATTTTAGAGGGACAAAAAATAAAAAGTACTTCTTCCGTCCCTCAAAACTTTTCTCCTTTCTTTTTTTCATCCGTCCCAAAAAATACTTCTTATTTCTATTAATAAGTTATTTTTATTCCTTACATTTTCATATCATACTGTTGGAGTTCCCACATCGAAAAATAAAGATAAGTATCACTTGCATATATTGAAGAGTGAAGCCCTACCTATCAGCTTAAGCTTTTGGGTTATAATTGTGGATCCCGACTTTATATGCAAGTGGTTAATTTTACCCGACACTCTATCTGTTGTTATCGGCCCGCCGGAATTTTAACATGGTATCGGAGCAGGTCCGGTCCGGGTTTGATTGTTCCTGGTTGTTTGGATGTGGGTTTAGCAAAAATGAGCTACCCGTATGTGGTTTGGGCTGAGTTGGCTAAAAAGAGATTGAGATGTCATCGCCAGTTGTGTGGGCTAGCTATAAGAGATTGAGATGCTAGACCCGTTTGTCCAAGTGCTAACTAGGCCAGGCTAGTTACCACTTGCGGGGGAGTG